ACCATCTGACATTGCAAGAAACCATGGAGCCTCATTTGTAGCCTCTACTACTATTATCACATGCAAAAGACAGCTCAGTCTGATGTGGACTAATACCACCACTGATACAGACCTTTTTAGTGCAGTTTCATAAGCCATGCTAAACAATCTAATTAAAGGGAAATTTTGAGGTTTTTAAACCTGGGCCCTATTATTCATTACATTCATTCGTTTAGCTGACGCTTTTATCCAAACCGACTTACAATTGCTATACATGTCAGAGGTCACAGGCCTCTGGACCAACTAGGGGTTAAGTCTCTTGTCTTGCTCAGGGACACAATGGTGGATGTCTCACAGTGGGAAATGAACCCAGGTCTCCCACACCAAATGCAAGCATCTTATCTATGTGCCATCACCACCCGCCATCATATATTTTGGGGTTCAAAAAACTAATTGGTGCAAAAAGGTCTGGGAAAGTGCATAATGCAGGCAAGTTTAGCTCTCAGAATTTTCAGGGAAATGGTGGAATTGGTGCAACCACAGTTGTGGATATATCAGTAGAGCCTCATTGACGTTCGTCATTTTAGTTTATGAATGACTTTGTTATTGGGGCTAAAGATACAATGGTGTAATTCAGACCATTAAAGTCATAAATTTAGGAACTAATAAAAAATAAATAATTGTTAATTAATAAATAGAATAAATTATAAACGCAACACATGTGTAAATGCGACGCAACCTGAATAAATGTTTTTGCCCCCATTCATCATGAGCTGAACTCAAAGATCTAAGACTTTCTCTATGGACACAAAAGGCCTATTTCTCTCAAATTATAATCTGTGTTAGTGAGCACTTCTCCTTTGCTAAAATAATCCATCCACCTCACAGGTGTGACATATCAAGATGCTGATCAGACTGCATGGATATTGCACAGGTGTGCCTTAGGTTGGCCAAAATTCGTCCAATACTTCGATTTCTGACATCCCCATCAGCCTCAGCTGTACTTTTGTGTTTAGTGCTAATTAGCAACTGTTAACTGTCAACAGTCTCAGTACACTGCACTACTAAATTCCATATGGCCAATATATTTGACTAATCAGTAGCAGTTTTGTTCTTCTTTTCTTCTCACACCCCCCCCCTCCTGCCTGTGGGCTCCCTGCACTCAGCCATGATCTTGGGGTAGCACTTTTATGAACGGATGGTGCATGGGTATTAGGGGAATAAAAATGTATTTTTAATGTCCTTTATCACTTATTCCAAGTGTCTGGCCACATAAATGTTAGTCTTGTTGAGAAAATGCGCAATCACTATCATTTTTATTTATATATTTTTATTTTCCTTTCACATTTTGATTATTATTTGCATACATTTGTGTTTTTTTGTCACAGTGGTGCACGATGCTGGTGTGGTGCTAGATTTTTTCCTTTGTCTATAACACCGTAACATTCAGAATTCCTAAAACTTTAAAGTTTCCACATGCACTGTGCTGGAGGAAGCAGTTATATAGGTTGAGGACAAGACATGTTGAGCAACTACCGCCTTGGTCTTTGTTCAGACATGGAGATCTTGTGTAGAACCTTTATGTGATCATAGTCTTGTCCCACTGACGTCAAAGTGGCCACATCTGGTCACATCACCTCCAGGCCAAAGAAATCCTGCATTTTTCTGAGTGTCTTCAAAGGAGTCTATAGAGCAGCTCCAGACACTGCCTGGGGCTCTGACACCCACATCAGAGAAAAACTGAGACAGATAGTCCTGGATAAAGAAAACAGGAATGAACAATTCTAACATACCGATAAGACTTTATATATGTTTAATTTGACTGATTAGTAATTTAGTTATTTAAATGCAGAAGTGATCATTTTAAATTGTAATTTAATTCAAATATATATCCTTAAATAAGATTTCCAGTAAATCAAACCCAATTTTAGATTTTTGTCATTTATTTTCTATACAGTTATTTTCATTGTTAGTTGCGGACTTTGCCTTTCCTGCACTGGAATCACCCTGGACTCAGAACACTGCATGAATGTTATCCTACATTACTGTGTGTAATTTTATCTGATTTACTGGACTGACACAACCTGAGTTTGGCTGTGCTGTAAACAGACACACCAGCTGCTCTTCTGTTGTGTTTCCCAGAATTTCTATACATTCTGGTACCTGCAATATTACACCACACCTGTTCCTACCACCGGTGACCACGGGCGGAATCTTAAGGATAATACTGTAACTTTAGTCAGGTTAACTTTCTCTACATATTATTTAGTTTGAATTGCTAGTACTTACTGTTTTAGATCATTAGTTTGCATTATAGATCCAGTAATCACTCACTCTAATATACATTATATCCAGTAAATCTGGAAGTGTACTTTTGAGTGGGTAGGCAGATTTATTTTGTCACAATACAGCAGGTTATAGAGTGAATTTGAGATTGTACCTCCCTTCTGCTACGTAGCATACAATATACATTAATATAGAAACAATTATAAAAATGGTAAACAGAAATAAACTATTATGAAGAGTCAGTTAACTTGTGGGAAAAAGCTGCTCTGCAGTCTGGTGGTGTAGCAGCTGAAACTTCTATCTCTCTTCCCAGAAGGCAGCAGGGTGACGAGGCTGTGGCTGGGTGGGAACTGTCCTTTAGTGTCCTTTGGGCTCTTTGTAGGCACCTCACTTCACCGATATCACTGATGCTCAGGAGATGGGTACCAATGATCTTCTGAGTAGTTTTAATCAACCGCTGCAAAGCCCTCCGGCCCTGGGCCGTGCACATCCCAGTCCAGTTTGTGATGTTTCCAGTCTGTAAAAGCTGACAAGAACTTGACACAGGAATTTGGCCTACAGCTGTATTTTCTGTATACCATATTTAATGAAAATGCCACCGGGCATTTTCTTTGCTGAAAATCTGTAATTATCTGTAATGCTTGTTGGCTGGTTCAGAATGTTCATCATTGGAAATATTTCTACTAAAATACAACAAACCAAACCACATTAATGATTTATTGATGTTCAGTTCTGTGCATCAAGCTGAGCCAAAGTGTCTGGTATAATGTACAACACAGGCAGGCATACTTCCAGACTTTGTTTCTCATGTTTAGAGGCACTCAACAGGCAGTTTCAATCTATACAGGTGTTTTGCTTTTCAGAGAAGACCATGGTATATTTTTCGTGCTGTAAAAACAACTTTAAATGACTATAGAGGCTTTAGTAGGAAACGAATATTTCTGAAAATGGTTAGTGAACTTTTTTTCCTTTTTTAAAAAGGGTGGAACTCTTTTAAATTTTTGACAAGGCTGACAGAGTATAGATCTTACAGAATGACAGAGAAAAATGTATTGCTCTTCTGTCGTTAATATGTAAAATGTATATTAATTAACACCAACAATTGTGCAATATTACGACTTTGCAAACACCTCATGTTTACCTGGGCTTGAGACTGCTCTTCTTGGCCGGCTGAAGTGGTGAGCACAGCTCCACAGTCTCACAACTATCATCACAGTTTTAACAGCCAGTGCACCTCCCAGGATTTCTTTCTTTCTACTGCAGAGAAGAAGGAATAACTCCAGGTATATTATTCTTCCTATCAGGCTCTGCTCATATGTAGAGTTGGAATGCAGTTGGGTATTTGCTGACACAGTCCATTTCAGTGTTTTGGTCATGAAGTATAAAAAGCAGAGAACGGTGCAACCACAGTCTGATTATCAGCTTTGACTGTGTTGCTTATCAAAAGTGACTTGCATACTTCTACAGCCTTTTCAATGAACATATTTTAATACACTAATACTGATGTGGGAGATGACGCATCAGTGGATGTAGTAAGCAAAGAAATCAATAGAGGGAGCCATGCGAGCACTAAATGAAGTTTGTACTGGTTACAAACCAGGGCTGGCTGCTGACATACTGTCGTTTCAGTCTGTGGCATCTCTTCCTTTTTGTATTTTTCTTCTGTTACACAAGTTGCAGCAATGTCACCTAATTAAATTTTATCTTTGCAAGCAATTTTCACAGCAATTCAGTTTATAATAAAATATTTGAAATTAAGCTGTTGGATGCATGGATGTTATAAGTATTAGGTCACCGCTGTGCGTGCATGTATGTTCTTTAAAGCATAAAGGACTCCTCCATGTACTACAGTGTCCCCTAAAACACATACAAGAGTAAAACAAAAACATTAAGAAGAATGTGCTCCAAATTAGGCTGGAAATAAATTTAAAATAGACATTTGCCCCGCTGTAGCCAACTATTTAGCAAACTATATATCAACCTTTGAATGGTTGCCTTAGAATTTTGCTGGCTTTGGAGTGCATTTTAAAAATGTATATAGTCTACTTCATAGTTGTTTGTTTAGGATTTGGAGCAATTTCGCTAAATGGTCTATGTGTTTTGTCGACAGGGAACACGTTGTATACAGTTCATACGGAAAGCACTAGTGGATTGGCCGTCGGGACAGTTGGGACATTTCCAGGTGGCTTGAGGTCCATTATAGCCTGCCGTTAATTGTCAACCTGACCAGCGGCAGCGATGACATGGCAAGCTTTTTTATAATCTAGCAAGGAGGACAATCGGCGCATCCACGGTGTCCTCGTTTTCTCTCCATGTGTCTCTCTGCCGGTGAGAGCTTCCACGCAGCAGGCCACATTTTTTAGCCTTTTCAGACAGGGTGCGACCCTCCTCCTGCCAACTCTATTGGATCCGCAGGGTCTCACTGCGCTCCTCATGTGAACAAACAGGCAAACATGCACCATGGCAACAGTTTCTGTGAGCTACTGAATCTCTGCAACTGTATTTTCTTAATAGACTATAGAAAATGTATCTAGTAGAAATTATTGAAATATGGATATGTTTATTTTTGTGCTGGTTGCTTTTTGGACACCGGTGACTGAACACTGTAATCAGTAGTTTTTTTTTTGTAGGCTACAGGGGTGCTTTTTGGACTTTTACATTATAGGCCTATTTACTTTCATTGTTGTATGCTAGCTCATGTTCAAATTCAGTGAACATGTGTGTATGACGTTTTTTGATACTTTTGATAAGAGGCATAATCTCGAATCTCCTGACAGTAGAAGCCACTCAGATAAAATTTTTTACTAAATATCCAATTTCCAGGATGACTGAAAAGTCTCATACACAGCATCAATGTTGCACAGTAGGCTATATAATACAGACATGTAGACAATATACAGTATAAAAATTATTTCACATTTTAGAATACTGTAGGTGAACACATCTAAATATATATTAAATGTAGAAAATAGAATATTTAGAATAATAGAAATATTTGAAATTTACTATTTCGACTAGAAGTTAGAGCAGCGCAAGAAGTAGCTGTTCCTCAGCACACGGTACAACCTCCTCGTCCTCAGGCTGTACTCAAACATGTGGGGTCCACTGTAGATGTAAGCAAAACCTGCAGAACAGAGACTCAATGTAAGTTTATGTTCTAGCTAAAGGATAGCTAAAGAATAGTTCAGAATTATGGGAAATACACTTATTCGCTGTCTTGCCAGGTGAGATGAGAATATCAATACCCCCTCAAATCTGTCTGTTTAATATGAAGCTAGAGCCAGGAGGCAGACAGCTTAGCTATGTATTAACTACTGCATGGACTCCATAACGTTTTTGTACTAGTCATTTCAACCCCAAAATATGGCCCAGGCTTAAAAATACCAAAATGTGAATTGCTTACACAAAACAGTTATGGATAGTATGTTGCATTTCTGTCAATGTCCTAAATGTTACACACTGGACTTTGAAGGCAAAAAGTTAACTTGGCTCTGCCAAATGGTAACAATATCTGCCTACTAACACTTCAGTATCTCAGTAATTATACATATTAATTATATTACACACTACCTGCAGTAATTTCCAAGCAACCAGCTGAGGCTCCAAGAAGTTATTGCACCCAGCCAAGAAAGAGTCCAGTGCTCGTTTTTACACTGCACTGATTAAACATATGAAACGTAATGTGATAATTAGTGATCTTTACAGTTTCGCCAAATTTGTTAACTTTGGATAGAGTCGGGATAACTGCTAGCTGTTTCCAGTCTGTTTTATGCTAAGCCAAGGGTCTCATGCCTGCAGCTTCATGTTAAGTGGTCATGAGAGCTGCCAACTCTCACACATTGAACATGAAACTCACGCATTTTTTTTTTTTTTACACGCCCTCACGCTATACATCAATTTTCTCATGCAGTGGAAAAACTAATGTAGCCTATAACTGATAGCATTGACTCAGCGTGCTTACACTCTACCCAGCTGATACAACACCGGAAGAAGCTGTGACAAGAATCAAGCAAACCCAGTCTGGCGCAGTGAGTGGCAGACAGTTTGTGATTGGGTAAAGTAGCTGGTAGAGTTTGGCAATATAAAAATGTATAATCTGAAGCATAGCCTTCCTCTGTTGGGAATGTTAGCTGCACAGAGCTGCTGAAGTTAATGTGAGAATTTGTGGTGAAGTGCTTTCAGTTAGTTTTGTTTTGCACTGGTCTCATCTATACAGTCCCAAATGGGTTCTGTGTCTGTCTGTCTGGGATTCTATCATATCAGCAGAGCAAGGAACGAACAGCAGATTGTAGGGCAGGGAGAGTCTGAAAAATATTGTAATTTGTGATTAAATGATGACATTATTCTCATAAAAATCTTTCTCGAGGTGTCAGATTACACAGACGTGGGGACAGATGCGAAAAGTTTTGAACATTCAGTCCAGGGGTTTCTAATTGAATTAAAATTTATCCTTGAGGTGAAAAGGTGCCCCATTTAAAGAGGAATTTCCCCAAACAAAGTAACAAAGAGGAAGGAAGAATATATCGTGAGAGAAATAGAAATAAAGAATGCTTGGAAGCTATACACTCACTGAATTATATTCTGGTGTATTTTATATTTTAAATAGTCACCTGCTGAGTTTTGTGTTTCTGTTGATATGGCCTTTATAAAAACATTTCCACCATAAGTTGATGCAGGAATGCAGGAAAGTAAGTGTTTAATGCTAAAAATTTGTCGGGGGAGGACCCCACTCTAAATATGTTATAAGTACAGTCTCTAGTTTTGACACATAGATTCTGGGGGGAAGACTCCCCAATACATGGTCAGGTTTGGTCAACATTAAGGCTATCATGTCTGGAGGTTAGCAAGTATCCTGATCACACTGATCTGACCATGATTACTGACTTTTTATCTACACATACATGTGGCTGTGGCAAGCAGGATTAAAGACTGATAACCCCGACCCCTGTGGTGGGATATGACACAGAAGGCCTAAAATGAATTGACCTCCAATGCCGAAGCCCTGTCTCTATTGATGTAACTCTTTCTCAGAAAACTGAATATCTCGTGTCAATAGTCTTGACTTAGAAAACTCAGATCAGCTTTACTCACCTCTGTACTGGACAGCTGCGGTCACCTTGCTAGTCAGGCCAGGGAAGGTCTGATGCAACTGCTTGGGGAATCCCTTGTCCATAGTCCTTTTGGCCTCATCATAACTGAAGTAACAGACAGTAATTAGATACATTCAAGAAGGGTGAAAGGTAAAGAACAGCTCATTCTGAAATCAGAAATTTATACTTTGAACAAACCTGTAGTAATAGTTGCTTACAAAGAACAGAGTCTTGCCAGATACCTCATCATAGAGCGCTGCATCGATTTTCTTTACATTTCTTGGCAGTCTAAAACTGGTTAGTGTTTTAGGATAGCCAGGTACAGGATCATAGCCACTGAAAGCCCACACTCTATGACCTGCAGGCAGGAAAAAACTGACTTAGTTAAACTTTGAAATGGTGTCAGATTGGTGCCTTAGGAAGATAAGGAGAACACCTTTAAAGAAAAAGATTCTGTCTGATTGTCGGCTTTCATAAGCAGCGTCGATGTTGACGGGGACACTGGGCCAGAAGTTTGTGATGAGACTTTGTTGAGGTGTCCTGCTCTGGGGGTAGCTACGCCAGAACAAGCTAAAAACACACAAAAGCATTTTGTTCATAAGCCAGACATGTTTGTTAAGAAAACGTCCTAACATACTTCATTCTTGGATTATTAAGATGTATGAGCATTCTACCGTACAGTATGTCTGATACCTGTCTTTGAAGAAGAGCATCTCTCCTCGCAGGGTGGCGACAGCGTCCAAGACCATGGTTGGATCACAGGCATCAGGGGTGGTGGGGGGCTTAGGTCCAGGCTTAACAGGGTTCTTGTCTGGGTTTGGACCTGGAGATTAAATAAAGTCAGCATCTCATTGCAACAAAGTTATATAGATTGTGCAGGAGTTTTTTTTTTAGAGGATTCTGGTCATGTTATTAGCTATTTGTTTCAAACAAGCATTGCCAATCCAGCCAGTTAGTACTGACCATAGAGAAACTGGATGCCCTTGACGTCATCCCGGGGCAGAACAAAGGAGTCAGGGTTTCTGTATGAGTACGTTGGGTACATGAGAGCATCACGATCATTAGAGTGCGACAAGCCCAGGGAGTGGCCAAACTCATGGGCAGCCACCATGAAGAGGATGTAGCCTACAGCAGAAACAGGTACAGTTGCTCTGGGTGATCAGTTTTTCATGTCAAAATACACACAATGGAGTTTGTCTTTAAAATATTCTCACATAGCAGTGGTGGAAGAAGGACACAAAATTACCAAAACAACAGTTAAGAAAAACTCCAGTACATGCACAAGTCCTGCATTATGTAATTATGTGGATGTAAATATTCTGGACGCTTCTCTGATCTTTTTTCTGAAATATAGTTCTAGATAATTTAAACAGTTATCTTATCTTCAGAAGTTTAAGGGGGGAAATGTTTCTTTGGTTAAACTGTCAACAACTCATACACATCTGAAACATGACAGGAAGCCCCAGCAACAAATTTAAAGCCAGAAAGGTTTGAAATCAATTCAATTCAATAAAATGTTAAAAAATTGTAAGCGTAACATATTGTCAATATAAAATCCAAATCTGAGAAGTAACTTCTTGCTACAACTCTAGCCACAGCTACAACAAATGTAGCGGAGGAAAACTACTACATCAAGAACAGTGGAGTAAATGTACGCAGTTACTTTCCACCACTGTCCCGCACAGAGCATAAATAACAAACTCACCATTGTTTGAGCGGAAAGTGAACCTCTCATCTTCATCAAAATGAGCATCTCCTCCAATTCCAGGCCCTGGGGCGAAGGCATGGGCAAGAGTGCGTCCAGGACCGTCAAAGGGGTAATAATCACCATGCTCTGTTAGCAAGAACAAATTCACGTCAAGCTTTGCAAACCAAATACACTACAGCTACAAGCTATTAACCAAACTCATGTGTTAAACAACATATCAGAACTGGGTTTTCAGATAACGTCTTTCTACGATTAATTAGCTTTCCAATGTGATTTAAGACAAAGGAAAATTTATTTTCTACTCACGTAGGCGACCAAAGGAGATCATGATGTCCGCGGTGCCACTGTTGATTCTTGTGAATCTCAGAGGAGTGACTTTGGCCCAAACCTGCAGTGCCTTCTCTATGGAGTCATCGACCTCTGACACTGGCATGTCAGGTGTGTAGTTCTCTATCCTGTAGGACAGAAAAATAGTCAAAAACATTATTTGATAGACTTCCTACAATTACTGTTTCACACACTTTCTCTCTTCAGATCATTCACCTGTAGGTAAGGCTGTTCTTAGTCCACTTGAGGTTTTCTCCAAAAGTGGAGAAACTGGCAATGTTGACATCTGGAACGCCACAGCGGGGTTTCTTCATCATCTCTAAGGTATCAGCATCCAGCGTCCCGGTGATCTGGAGACCAAAGAATCGCTGCATCTCTCTAAGCTTATTGCTCACCGGGCTGATCCCCCGTCTGACAGTTGGACCTGTCTCCTCTTTTAGGTTGAAGAATTTCTTCAGGTAGTTCTGCAAAAGAAGATGAGAATTTAATCCCTTGATGTCAGTAATGGTGTTTAGGGTTTGTGGAATAATGAAAGTTTCCAAAAAGCACATCTTGAATACATCTTAAATGCATGAGAAGACAAAGCAAACACTTACCTCTGCAAAACTTTCATCTTGCACAGCAACTTGTGATACTGGCCCGCAGTAAACTGCTACTGCCAAACTTAGCACGATGCACAGACTGCAAGACCTCATGCTTCCTCGGTGAATGAGATTTGTGTTTCTGTGCTGGAGTCAGTTGTTATATAGGCTGAGGAACGGCTGTGTTGGGGAGTGGGCATATTGAGCAACTACCTTCTTGACTCAGTGACTCAATCTATCCATTTATGGATCAGCCACCAAGCCAAAAAAAATCCCCAAAACAAGACTGTTATCATGATATGACACATGGCATGTACATTCAGAAACAACAGATTTTAAGATCAAATATTGATCTTTGAGGCATTAACTGGATAAGTAATAAAATAAGTTAAGAGAAAACTAAAATACCAATAATCTTATCTGACAAAAGAAACATAACAAATGTGAGAATGTCATTTACTTTATCGGTGCTTTGCTTTATATTCATACATACAGTATTATCTGAACAATTAAACAGGAGGAGTTGGCTGTCACTGAATATTTGTTTGTGTTTTGTTTTAATATTTTATTTTAAACATGCTGATTTCTACATGACTAGGTTAAGGTTATATTCTGAGTGATAGTTTGATATCACTACTTAAGTGCAATTTATACTTCTGCGTCAAATCGACGGCGTAGGCTACGGGGCTACGCAGAGGCTATGCCGTCGCCTGACGTGGACCTTCACTTCCAAAATGTAACGACGTTGAGTCGACGCAGACCGTAAGCTCTGTGATTGGTCGGCTGGGTAGCCTCGCAATGCCTCCGAGCCGACCGGAAGTATCCAGCGCTTTAAAATAACATTTACTAGCTGTAACACAGTGAATCAATATATCTGACCATTGCAACCTGAGCAAAATGATTCGTTTTGCTGTCAGAATGTGATCCATTCAGTCGGTAACATTTGAAAAGGCTAAACCAGCCGCACGTATACAATTTTACCCCTATTTACATTAGCGGAGTGCTAAACCGGAAGTTAGCCTGCTCGGCCGGCAAAAGTCAACACAATGGACGCTGTAGCGCTACCGCCGACTAGCGTTTGGGGGTGTAATTGTAGAATGACGGGGACACCGACGCACAAGTATAAATGCCTGGCCTACACAGGAGTATAAATGGGCCTTTAGGTTTTAAGGCTGTCTGTCGTAAATTCAAAAGGTCCTTACTCACAAACAGCCTTTTCTAACCCTCAGGCAACTGTTGCAACTAATAAGACGAGGCAAGTGCCTTGTGAGCAAACACAGACAAGCTGTGTCGTGTCCCTCGACATGGAGTATTTGTAGATGCCACAGATTGATCATCATGCTGTACAACTTTACTCACCAACCACTTAACAACAGCTTAATTTTATGAGAACATTAAGGAATTCTGTGAAATATTTAAGGCTACTTTACTGCATACAAAGGACCTGATTGTTTTTCGATTGATAGAAAAGTTGTGCATGTTTCCTAACTAGGTCATTTTCTATTGTTATGTAGATATAAATATATTTGAATTTGTATTTATGTGTTTATTTATGTAACATTTGTACTTTATTGTTAGTGCAAAACCACACTGTGGTCGCTGTTTCTTAACACTGAACACTGGGAGGAGCAGTACTTTGTTCATTGTGCAACTTGTGTCTCAGATAAATTAACACAAATTAGTGCAGACAGGAGTGATGAAAGAGTTTCAATGGGCCTGATGGAACTCATAGCATGGATCATCAGCCAGTACAAGCAAAGCCAGAGATGTACACACAGCATTAGCATTAGATTAAACACCAAATGACCCAGCAGATTAACCGAAGTCCTAACAGACCTCATGAGGACTGAGTAAATGCTCAGAGGTCCATTCAAACCAGCACTGGATTGTTCTTACTTTAAAGAGAGAGGGTTGTGGTGAGAGCACTGTGGTGTCAGTCATGACTGTGCAGCAATGGTAAATTGGCTCACAAGTCAGGTAGGAGGGCCACATAGCAGAATCTTGCCTAGCGCCTCAGGGAGGTCAGGTCGGGCCCTATGGAGATACATGCTGGTTTCTTTAATGTTGCATAACAGTGAATATATTTTATGCCTCCTTTATGTAAAACCCCAAATCCTTCTACCTACTAACTATTGATGGTGATTTTGGTTATAGTTAGTCATTTAATTAATAATCAGAGTCCCAAATTGAATGTTCAGAATAGTTTACAAGAAGGGAACATTATTCTGTATTCTGTATTTTTTTCTTAAAGTAACAAGCTCAAACTCATTGTTATGGTACACTGACTTTTAATATGGCGCTATCAGTGAAGCTTTTAATGGCACAATGTAGGATGGAGACTCCTGCTGGGATTTCTATCGCGAGAACAGCGTTATGCTTACGATACCATGTCAGACATCAACAAAGGCTCTTCGGCAAGCTAGCTATAAGAAGCTAGCTTGGTATTCTCTCTGTGGATATCGTGGTAGAGACAGCGAAGAGACTGAAGAGTACAGTGTCAGAGGAAGCGAGGAAGAGAAAAAGGGAGGGCAACTAAGCAAGCAAGGGAGTAGAAAAGAGTAAATATTGGATTGGCTTTTAATCACTGGCATGAGCTAAAAGAGCGGAAAGGATGCATGATGCTGACATGGCCTTATTGGTGTTAGACTGATCCGTTATTTTTAGGGCCCGAGCACGAACCGTGCGAGGTCTCTATTGAAACTGTAAGGATTTCTGCAAAGTTAGCTCAATTTTGGAGACCTAACCATACTCGAAAACTCACCAAATGAAAATTCAGGAGTGGCGAACATTTTATGGGTTTCACGCATGGGCATGGCAAAATGGCTCGCTAGTGCCCCCTACAATGCAGCCCCCGAACAAAGATTAACCTAGATGTACGGAATTTTTGTGGTATGTGTATCATGTCTAGACGCACACAAAAAAGCCTCTTGGAGACATTACCTAAACCCAACAGGAAGTCGCCCATTTTGGATTTAATGGTCATTTTTGGCGATTTACACACTCCGTACTTTAACGAACTCCTAGAGATTTGGTCCCACCGACTTCAGATTTGTGCTGTGCCCTCTAAAGGCATTGACGATGAAAAGTTGTTCTATCTGTGGATTTTCGTCAATGGGCGTGTCCGTGGCGTCGATGACTCGCCATGAAACAGGAAGTTATTGTAACTTCAGTGTACATGCTCACATCTGCGCCAAACTGTACATGTAGGATGAGAGTCCCGCACAGAACACATGTACATGCCGACATTCACTCACAGTCATAGCGCCACCTGCTGGCAACAGGAAGTGACCTTTAACGAAGCAGCCCCCGCCGCACGTTTGACCTACACCTACATGGGCGTGTCCGTGGCGTGGCGCCAAAGATCAACTCTTCGCCATGACACAGGAAGTTGTTGTAACTTCAGTGTACATGCTCACATCTGCACAAAAAATTTACATGCTTGATAACTGTCTCACCCCAAACACATCTACACGCCAATATTAATTTATAGTCATAGCGCCAAGTGCTATGTAACACCACAAAGGGGAAACAGGAAGTGACGTATACTGCCTTCACGCAGCGTCCGAAGCGCGTAGCAAATTCACAGCCACACCAGCAGAGCTCCAGAATATGCAACGCTACACGTGCGAGGGCCTACCCAACACTGCTTGCAGCTTTAATTTATTAGATGGCTTCCTATGTCATTTAAAGTTTTGCCTGCTTGATGTTTGGCTATGAGGGGCCGATAGAGACATTATTCAGAATTCAAATACACGTACTACTCCTCTCACATACACAAAAGAAAGACATTAACATTCTATTCTGAAAACCTTGTAAATATACATAAATAGTATGGAGTAGTGTTGAGGATGAATATGAATTAGAATTTAAAAGTCCCATAGCTTGGGGGAAAAGCTATTCTACAGTTAGGAAGTGCAGCAGACAGTAATTTGTACATGCTGGCAGGCATTCTTTGTACCCAGAAGTAGATGTTACAGGAAATTTTCTGCATTTTTATTGCATGTGGTTCTTAGGAAAGGGCATATCATGCAATTTACCTACTAAACACAATGCTATCTATTCCTGCTGGGGCCATCCAAGCATGGGGGCGCATGTTTATAATATTCATGGAATGAAACCTAGGTCTGGTCTGTTTAAAAAGCAATGCAAACCATTGCCTTTCCAATGTGCGTAGGTATTTTTAATGTTTCTCATTGGAGAGTGATTGCAACACTAAACAATGTTTCTGTTTATTTTTTGTTCCAGGCTAAATATTCACAGTGTGAATTGAAATCTTTGCATGTAGGCAATGCATTCATGTACCATACAGTGCCCTCTCACCCATAAAAAATAGGGCTCCCCTAAATGTCATGGTGCAAACATGTCATGATTGGGCCTTGCCACCTCCTCTGTCCCCTTGTTTCCTATTTTACCACTCCCAGTCTCTGTCAGATTTTGTGTGTCATGTCCTGTCTGTGTGTGTGGTTGTGGGCGTCTGGCTCTCTCTCCCCTGGCTGTTCACCACCTGCGGCTCATCCTGCAATCAACCTCCTCAGTGAAATACACCGGCTCTTCACCCACTCCTCGCCAGTTCGTCAGTAAACCTTCAGTGGTAACTATGTTGTGGCTGATTTTGTATTCTGATCCCAGAGAATAGAGTTTTGTCATTTGAACACCCTTTTTGCCTGTGAGTAACCATTGTGTGTCTCTACCTGCCAGAGTTCTTTTCCTGAAGAAGCTGCCTGCCTGCCTGAAATTGTTTGCTGGAGGACGCAGCCCACCAAGCCAGAGCTTGTCTCGGAGCCCTCTCACCTGTCTGCCCGCTTGCCACACCTCGGGTTCACCTTTTGTTTACACTGTAAATAACTCTGCCTCAGTTAAGAGTCCTCTGCTTTGAGTCCTTTCAGCCACGCCTAACAAAATACTTCATGACAACTAAATCAAGTTAGTGTATGGACAACAACATGAAGCTGACAGTAAATAGCAATTAGTTTCTTTAAAAAAACTGACAAAATAAAAATCTAGGTTCCATCTCACACAGGAGGAGCCCTCTACTGGACTCTATGGGTGCTACCTCCTCCTATCACACGCATGTACTCACACACTGAAAATTTGCATACTGTAACTAGCCTACCAATTGAATGTGAACTTGTGTGTACTCTATAAATAGTCGTGTCCTCACTGCTCAGCATCCTTTTTCCTTCAGACGGACAGTGAGCCGCCCACTTACCTTTCACTTCCATGGATGGAGTCCCCGCTCCTTGAAACCCGCCATCGGCCAGATTAATAACCTGGTCCAGGA